ACAATATTAAAGTTTAAGGAAAATAATTACATATAAATTACAAAAATTATTGAAAAACCTTAAAAGAAATTAATTTATATACCATATATATGGTATATAAATGATATATAATGGTTAAAAATACATATAAAAGCACCACAACATCAAAGAAAATTTCTATAAACTCAAATAATTTAGAGTTTCATTTGTTTCAAATACATTTTTTTTCTTAAAAGTTTCAACCAAAAACAAAGAACATACATATATATCTCGAAAAGACAGATTCTTTCCATATGGGCGAAAGAGATTGCAGACCAAATAGTGAAAGGCGTACGTGAATAAGGCGCGAATTAGCTGTTTATGGCAAAGCAGCTTAACTTTGCAGTTGAGCTGGTTGTATAATTATTTATATTTTTAACGTCTAATCAATGAAATAATTGGAATTGTCTAAGCGGCTTGTTATGATTGCAGTCACGTCATGGCAATTGTTGTTGCTTTTAATGCAAAATGAAGTGAGATGCTAGTGTCAAATTTTCATTTTGTATTGAAAGCAACTACAGAGTGTTGGATGGCTTTCCTTCGACACCGTATGGTTCGAAGGTCTGATGCACAAACTATGCCACTTCGGCTTCCTTACAACACTCTGTAGTGTTATCCACCAGTTCCTTTCTAATAGATCCTTTGACAGGTAAGTTCGAGAATACTTCGTAAAACCGAATACGAACAGCACTACTATAGAATACTATTTGTTTCATAAAAAAATGTTTGAAAACCTTTCTGTTTTTAAAGAATCCTTATTATTCCATTAGCAATATATATTATGGACACATAATTAAGAAAATATTGGGAAAAGTGTACATAACCTTCTTAAAATTTATTATATAAAGAAATATTAGGGGTATTCAGGATGTCTGTGCATCCTTGCAAACTCAAATAATCGAGAACACACGTTGTGCATATTAGTCTTGAAAATATTTAGAACAGATGATGTTTGTTTACGTATTTATTTGCTTGTAAAATATAACTCAGATTCGATAATTTGGCATATAATAATTTCCACTAATGCCAAAAACAAGTGAAAAGCAGAATACATTGACATTGTCCGACATTGTTGATGGTAAAGTAAATAAAAAAAGAAACAATTGCACAAAATCATAAAATTACAAAATAACAAAATCAAAACAAACTTAACAGTTTCGCTGAAGTATAGAGTCTTCAAAATCAAATATGCAAGAGGTAATTGGTGTTAAAAATATTGTCTTGAATATTGTCTTGCAAATCAAGTGCAGAATTATAAGAAAAGAAATTGTTTTTGTAAAATCAAATAAATTTGTACATGCAACGATGCACAGACATCTTGAATACACCTATTGTACATTTTTTTTTTTATAGTTTTATAGTCTGTGTTATTGACCAATTTTTAATAGCAAAACAAGTTATTTGTGTGTATTGTGATGTAATGTAATGTAATGTAATGCTTTAAAATCTTAAAACAAATTTATTAATTTCTAATACTTAAAATTAATTATTTTTTCACTTACTTTTGGTCGTGACAACCGCCTTGCCTCTACCGGAACTCAAAAACAAAAGCCAAGCACAAATGACAATCAGCTGACACATGAACTGACAGTTCATGTGTGCACTGGGTTGCATTTTCTAATTATAGCTGCACGGTTGCAACGACCAAAGCAAGTTTACAAACATTTTACGCACATTAACCTTTGGGTATGGAGTGGAGTTCTAACATTCTCCCCCCAGTATCTCTTTAATAAGAATACGACTTACTCTAAACTGCCGCTCCACGAACATCTAATACGGCTAATTTTGCAGCAGGTCTATGATATTGCCCTCGAGTAGTCTGCACTATGGCGCTCCTGGTCTGCCCGTCCCTTGCTTTAATGGCACTAATTACAATTCCTTTCGGCCATGTGTAGCGAGGAGAATTTGGGTCAACAATAATGACGACATCACCTGCTTCGATGGGTTTTATCTTACCAAACCATTTCGTCCGTCTTGTCATCGTTGGAAGCACCTCTTGTATCCATTTTTTCCAGAACCGATCGGCAAGGTATTGCGAATGCCTCCAGGAGGATTTCACGTGCTCGTCGTTAGTGTCGAACTTCCCCGGCGGCTTGTTCCCGGAAGATGACCCCAACAAGAAATGATTCGGAGTTAACGCTTCTTCGTTTGCTGTTTCAATCGACAAATAAGTGAGCGGTCTGCTATTTATGATTGATTCTACCTCGCAGAACAGGTTATGCATCTTTTCATCATTAATTTTTGCTTGCGGGCTTATTATTGCTCCTAACACTGTTTTTATGGATCGCACCATCCGCTCCCACGCTCCACCCATGTGCGGCGCAGCTGGTGGAAGAAAAACCCATTGTGTTTCCGGACTTGTAAATTCAGCTTGCAATTCATTGAAGTCCACGTTTCTTATTGATTCTCGTAACTCCTTTTCAGCTGCTGTTAAGTTTGTTCCATTGTCACTATAGATGACATTCGGCACTCCTCTTCGGGCTATGAAATTTCGTATCACTATACAACACGAGCTGGCTGACAGGCTATAAGCTATCTCCAAATGCACTGCTCGACACGTAAGGCATGTAAAAACGACGCCATAGCGCTTCTCTGAGCGTCTTCCTACTGTTACAGTATACGGGCCAAAATAATCTATTCCAACGTGTGAGAATGGTCGGGAGTATGCTGATAGTCGTGCTTCTGGTAACACACTCATCTCCGGCGGCTTTGGTCTCGCATCGCGAACCTTGCAATGTTGGCAATTATTTCTTACCTGCTTTAACAGTCTACGCAGTCCCGGAATGTGGTATTTCTGAAAGATTTCGTTAACCACCGTTTCATGATTTAGGTGTTTCCATTTTCGATGATACCAGTCTACGATCAACTTAGTTATGTAGTTTTTCCTTGATAGTATAATTGGGAATTTGGTTGAATCAGCGATGCATACGGCTTTATCTAATCTACCTTTCAATCTTAAAACATTCTGTGCATCTATGAATGGTGAAAGTTTTCGCAAAGGGCTACTTTTAGAAAGAGTAATATTAGCGTCTCTACTTAATGCAGTCATTTCTTTCTTGTAATCCTGTAACTGGGCTGTTTGGTACAAGAAATTTTCACTCCATTTCAGTTCCTCAACTGACAAGCATTGGTTTACAGATTTCTTCTTTTTCATTTCATTAGTTGATAGTAAAGACATAAATCTTTTCACATAGGCCATGCATCGAACTAAACGTTCCCACTTTGAAAATCGGTAGACATCTATGAGAGGTTCCTCCTCTGCTACATGAGCCACCAACAATCGTTGCTTTCTGATTTCAGCATCTTCGTTATATTTCTGTACGCCAACATTATTTGGCCAACAAGTTTCTGCTTCATACAGGAACTTCGGTCCCTTATACCAAGGGTTTTTCCAAGTAAAGTCTGGATTACTAGTTTGTTTTGTAGCCAAGTCCGCAACATTTAATTTTGTAGGAACGTACCGCCATTGTTCTGCTTCGGACAACTCCTGGATTTCTGCTATGCGGAACATTACAAATTGTTTGTAATCTCGTGGGTCAGATTTTATCCACGATAGAACAGCCTTTGAATCGCTCCAATACGTTATACTGGTCACTTTCAAGTCTATTGCCCTTTTTATGTTGTTTCCTAAACGTGCTCCCAATTCCGCCGCGAGTAGTTCCAGTCTTGGAATTGATATTGGTCGTAATGGTGCAACTTTTGCTTTAGAACATATCAAGGAAACATCTATGTTGTTGCGATTCTTCGCTCTTAGGTACACCACCGCTGCATATGCAACCTCACTTGCGTCCACAAAGACATGCAATTCAATGGAGTCTGCATCCTTATTAACCGTAGCGAAGTAACATCTCGGTA